AGAATCAAAGAATATCTGTTGCTTGAACAAATAAATAGACATATGAAAAAGTGGGGACAGCACTGGTGTCAGATGGAAGGGATGTGATTTCTGACTCTGCTAATCACTGGTTGAGTGAGACTTAATTAAAGTCTTTGTGCCTCAGTTTCTTGATCCACTCAATAACAAAAAATATTATCTACGTCATAGCAAAATCCCTAAATCATAATGCAATCAATAAATGCTAGATGATGTTATTAATTATGTTTATGTAATTACATAGCTGGCATGTCCCAACTATGTTTCTGCTCTGCTTCTCCTTTAGAGCCCACCTTTAACCTAGAACAGATCTGAGAGTAAGGAGTCTCCAGGAATTGCAAACTGGTAGCTATGGACATTAGCTTTAGATGAACCAACAAGGAAAGTTAGGAATAGTAAGATGAACCATTCAACTAGAATGGTAAAGAATAGAGTCTTCAGTTCACAAGACAGCTCATAAATCTAGTTTTAAAAATTTCAGTACTGCCAAGCACAGTGGCACATACCTGTAATCCCAGCAGCTCAGGAGGCTAAGGCAGGAGAAACGCAAGTTCAAAGACAACCTCAGCAACTTAGTGAGGCTCTAAGCAACTTGGTGAGGGCCTGTCTCTAAAAAAATATAAAAAGGGCTGGGGATGTGGCTCAGTGGTTAAGTGCCTGTGGATTCAATTACCCATATCAAAATAATAAGATTTTTTTAAAAATTTCAGTACTGATCCTACTTTAAAAAAAAAAATCAAATGACAAACTGGAGAAAGATACTAGCAACATATATGTCAAAAGGCTTATTCTTAATATACAGAGTTTTTTTTTTTTTAAGTTGTTGATGGACCTTTATTATTTTATTTGTATATGGTGCTGAGAATCGAACCCAGTACCCCACACATGCCAGGCAAATGCGCTACCACTGAGCCACAACCCCAGCCCTAACAAGAGTTTTATGTCAACCATTCCAAAAGAATCTTAAGAAAAGAAATGTAACCAAAACATACCACCTGATATCAGCCATAAGTACTATTTACATGTCATAATAAACAGTGAATACTTAACTAAAAATTGGAAGTATGCGAGGAGTATATACTTCCTACTTTCCAAAGCATAAAATATAAAGGTAAAAATGTATGTCAATATCAATGTTATTTTAGAGAGGTCAGTGGGCTGGAGTTGTGGCTCAGTGGTAGAGCGCTTGCCTAGCACGTGCGAGGCCCTGGGTTCAATCCTCAGGACCACATAAGAAATAAAATAAAATAAAGGTATTGTGTTCATCCACAACTAAAAAATAAATGTTTTTTTTTTTTAAAAAAAAGAATTTAACCTTTATTTATTTATTTATTTTTAATGTGGTGCCAAGGATAGAACCCAGTGCTTCACCCATCCTAGGCAAGTGCTCTACCACTGAGCTACAAGCCCAGCCTTGTGTTCTGCTTTTTAAACCTTGCAGAATTATGTAATTCTTTTTTTTTTTGGGGGGGGGGCAGTACTGGGGATTTAAGAGGGGATACTCTACTACTGAGCTGTATCCCCACCCAAACCGCCTTTTTTTCTTGTTAATTTTTGAGGCAGGATCTTACTAAATTGCCAAGGCTGGCCTCAAACTTGCAATCCTCCGACCTTACCCTCCTGAGTTGCTGGGATTACAGGCTACCACACCCTACACTACTTGGCTTTTAAAACTATGATAAAGAAATATACTCAGTGAGTCAAAAAGCATTGGTACCCACCGGGTATGGTAGCACTTCTTTATTTTACACTGCCTTTAAGAAAAAACAGCTCCAACTTCTGATAAGCTTGAAAAAGGATAGTAGATGGCATTGTACACAGGCCACTTGGGCAATTTTTCTTCTTCCAAAGTTAGTATTAATTAAAGCAATAAAAATATTCATTATACACAAGTTTTAACAAAACCAACATAAATCATTGTATAATAGTAGCATAAAGCAGGATATTACAGATTTCCTTTTCTTATTTTCTAAACATATGGGTTTAAGTTTCACAGTAAATGATATTCTATAGTGTTGGCATATCCTCTCACCAATGAAGTTCAGTGTTTACAGTGTGTGGCCATTAAGAAATGATATGACTATGCATATTCCTTGTACAATAGGACTCATTAAATTGCAGTCATATTTTCTATTAAGAAGGAACTAATCAGTGGCTTTCTATTAGCAGTCTGATGAGCCCTATAGAAATTCCAATGGGGAAGCAGAAGAAATTCCATACATTCAGAATGGAATTGGGGTTACCTAAAACTCATCTCTTAACTATTTCCACAGTGGGTTTTTCTTTAGGATGCTGTTTAAGGAAAGGATTCCACAGCTTACCAAAAAAAAAAAAAAAAGTAACTAACAAAAACCACTGTATTATATATATGTATCCTCACTTTTTACAGTGTAGGTTTTTTAAAATCTCTGCAGATTAGCCAACACTATATAGTTAAGAAATTTTTTAAATTCAAGCACAGAAATGCCAAGAGTTCACACTCCATACTTGATTTATGAGTTTTCCTATTTTTCCAGACTTGATTGATTAAGTCTTGGTAATACCCATTTTATAGAGTAGGCACAATAATCACATATTAAGAAACAAGGATCTTGTCCCAGATGACAATATGAAGCACAGCAGGGTCCAGACATGAAGACCCACCTGCAGTGGCTTAGTCTACCAGACAGCACCTAGTTCTAAAAGCCTTGATGTCAAGCCCATTCCATACATTGTGATCTGAAGGTTCAGAAGCCCCTCCCAATGGCTTAGTCTACTGGATGGCACCTAGTTCTAAGAGCCTTGATGTCATGTGGGCCTTCCATACATTGTGACCTGAAGACACAGATGTCCCTATATATAGCACATGCTAACATCCGAGTTAGTTACAGGCCAATGTTGCCTAAAACGTATGCTGGATCAAGGGCAAAGTTTGGCTTCTCTTCATCCTATGGTTCAGACTATCTCTTGGTTCTCTTCTTGAGAAACCACTTCCAGAAGCAAAATATAGAACAGGTGAAAATCTGAAATATGAAACAGAAGACCTGGGTTCAAATTCTAGCTCAACCTATTCATATTCTTTTCACACCTTAACTCTCAAGGTTTCAGTGTCTTCATTTAAGATCATACTGACTCTAATAGACTATTAGATGAATTAGGGCTGGGGATGTGGCTCAAGCGGTAGCGCGCTTGCCTGGCATGCATGCGGCCCGGGTTCGATCCTCAGCACCACATACAAACAAAGATGCTGTGTTGCCGAAAACTAAAAAAAAATAAATATTAAAATTCTCTTTCTCTAAAAAAAAAAAAAAAAAAAATGTATAATAGACTATTAGATGAATTAAATGAGAAAATGGCAGTCCCCATCCTGTGAGTTATAGATCCTTGGGAATCTTTGGCTATATTATAAGAGGTTTGAAAAAGCATATGCTAAAAGAAAAAGAATCATTTAGGGATTAATAATGGTTTTATCACTTGAGCAAAATTTTTAGCCTTTCTATGTCTCAGTTTCTCACCTATAATTGAAGAAAACAGAATCTATCTTATTAGATTGTAGTGTGGTTTAGTTGAGTCTACACATGTAAAGTGCTTAAAACATTAAGAACTCAAAAAATATTGACTATTATTACTCTAACGTGTGCTTTTGTATTCTTTCAAAGTATAAAAATTATTTTGCAGCTGTCTGCTATAATTTTTCAACACTTTTTAGTTGTTGATAGACATTTATTTTATTTAGTTATTTATATGTGGTGCTGAGAATCGAACCCAGTGCCTCACATGTGCCAGGCAAGCACTCTACCACAGAGCTACAACTCTAGGCCCTGTCTGCTATAATTCAATGTTAAAAGGTGTTGTGATACTTGAAAAGGTTAAAAACTTCTAAGAAAATAGTTGTAAAAGGATCCAGTATACTACCAGCCAGTTCTGAAGTAGAGTAACTGAATCTATGATTTCAATCTTTCTAAATTTATTGAGACGTACTTCTGTCCTAACATACAATCTATCCTGGAGCATGTCTAAAGCACACTTGGGAAGAATATATTGTTAGGTGAATACATTAGAAGAATACATTGTTAGGTGGAGTATTCTGTACACATCTATTGGTTTACAGTGTTGTTCAAGTTCTCTGCTACTTTAATGATGTTCTATCTGGCTGTTCTATCCATACTGAAAGTGAGGTATTGAAGTCCACTACTGTTATTGTAGAACTCTCTCTTTCTCCCTTTAATTCTGTTTCTCATAGGCTCCTTCATTAGGTACACATACATTTATAATTGCTATATCTTCTCAGTGTATTGAAGTTTTATCAATATATATACTTTTTCTTTGACTCTTGTAGCTTTTTCTTTTTTTTTAAGTCTACTTCCTCTGATATTAGTATAACAACCCCACCTTTCTTTTGGTCATCATTTGCATGGAATATCTTTTTTCTACTCTTTCACTTTCAATTCCTTTCTTTTTATATCTAAGGTGAATCTCCTATATCTAGCATATCAATGGATCATGTTTATTTTTAATTACTGATAAGGAAGTATTTGTTCCACTTAACTATTTGTTTTATGTATGTCTTACATATATTATTCCTCATGTTTTCCATTTCTGGATTTTTGTTTTTGCTTGCTATTTTTTGGTACACAGATTAGTGGGATCTACATCCTACTTTTAAGATTAATTAGAGGCTTGGTTTCCAAGTCAAGTGACCTTCCCTCCTTCCAACTGAATAGTTCTGAAGAATACCTCCTTCATGAATCTCTCCCACAATGTTTAAAAGGAAGCACCTACCTTTTCTAGCAGTGAAAGTAGTCTCATGTTCTATCTTTGTTTTCATCCACTGAATCACTTGCCTTTTAGAGAGACACACATATGCACACATAAACTATTCACCATTTCATATATAAAGTTCACTGTTACTGTTTTTCTCTGCCTGAGTTAGGCTGGGCTGTGGGATACTTAGGAAGGGTCTATTGATGATTAACAAAGAAGTGAGAGGCAAAGTGGCTTACATTGTAGGAGCGGGGGTGCCTCTGTTTCCACTGCACCAGGAGCAGCTGGGCCACCACCAAGGTAGCGATGAGGATGAGGACCATTTCAGCGTGCATGGCTTCGTGGCCACGATGCTTGGCATGCATGCGTGCGTGCTCAACCCTGAAAGCCAAACAGATGGGGTGAGCCAAGTCAGGGATTATGTGGAGGTAAAGAAGCAGTGTTTCCTAGGGATATTCTACCAGCTCACAGTTCAGAACACGCTCCTGTGACTTGTAAGTGAAGGAATCCATGCAAATTACGGGCTAAAAGGACACACATCCTAGATGACAGACATTAGAGAACAGAATAGAAGTTCTATGGCCCCACAACAAAGCTCAGCTGTTGAGATTAGACGTGGGTAGTCTGTTGCCTGCCCCTCAAGGTAGAAACAGCTGACAACTTTCTTATAGTAGGAAGGAGATCTCAGGAAAAGCCTGTGTCACTGCCCATTTCAGTTCTATTCTGACATGTCAGAAAAAAGTAACCCAGAGTTTATAGCCATAAAGTATCATATTCTTAGTTGATGATATTTATGACACCAATAAAGGAGTAACATTGCAAATGTGTGCTGAGTCTAAGGTTAAAGTCTTGCTTTATTCATCCAACCTTTTTTATTTTATTTTTTATTTTTTGCCAGGGCAAGAACTCTTTAAGACCAGTTAAAGCCTAGAAAATCTAGACTGCTTTAACTTTATACTCATCCAACAGTGACTGCATCATTAGTATCCATAAGTAAATCGCTTCCTCAAGGGCTCAAGGAACAGTATAGTTAGAAACTTTTTATTATTCTAAGGTTGGCATTCTCTGGTCTTGAGGACTAGTAGCAAGTTAATTCCCTTGGTCAATACTGGCAAAAACTTCCTCTAAGAATAGTTACTCCTACCACTCTGGGTCAGAATCAGTCAAGGCAGAGGAATGAGGGAGGAATTAAGAGAGAAAATGGAATCCAAATGTAGCGTACAATCAGGAGATTTTATATAAATTTCCCTTATACCAAGGTATTAGGGAGAGAGGGAAAAGGACAATATAGATGATGTCTTCATGGAATGCCTAAGGGCAGTGAAAGACTAACCGGAAGAAGAATCCAGTGGGATAAATTATGGGTAGATAAATGATACAGCAAATATAGCAAAAAGTTAACTTTTTTAGGTGGTGGTTAGAGTGGCATTCATCATGTAGTTCTTTCAAAATTCTATGTTTAAAATGTTAGTGGGGTGGAAACGTGGTGGACAGAGTAGGCAGCCAAATGTCAATCAGCCAGCCTTAGCACCTAAGGGTTCATCTAACATGATTCTACCCTGGGTAGAAGAACCTATCAGAAAAAGAATAGGACTGGGAGTCAGAAACTTAGTTTCAGACTCACCCATGTAGCCTTGGCTAAGAAGCATTACATCTCTCCACCACAATTTCTTCATCTGTCAAAAGGAGTCCAAATCTTTTCTGCCTGCCTCACAGAGCTGTTGTGAGGCTAGGCTAAGCTAAGAGGGTAGAAAATACTTAAAACAAACAAACAAAAAAAGCCTAAGTGCTGTGTGGAGTTATAAAGATAGCAAGCGATGAATTTCTTGTTCTCAGACAAAACACAAGTAAATGGATGTATATAACATGAAATCAAAGAAAGGATGTAGAAAAGACTAGAAAAGTCATGCACAATGCAAAAATGATTTTTGCAACCTTTGCTTGGATACTTCCATTGATTGAGAACATGTGCCTTTAAGTTAATCTATTCTAGGGCTGGGTGTGTGGCTCAGTGGTAGAGCACTTGTGTAGCATGTGTGAGGCACTGGGTTTGATCCTTAGCACCACATAAAAATAAATAAAGATATTGTGTTCATCTACAATTAAAAAAAGAAAAAATTTTTAAATATTTAGTCTGTTCTAGAACTAGCAGGGTCTGGCACTTTGTATGTATTCATATTTTTTCATGAATGAATAAAATTCCAGTACTTCAGTGACAGAAAGCTTATTATTTCTCAATATACCTTGATTATTAAAGATATTTCTAAAATTGAGACAAAAAAAAATCTACCTTCCTACAGCTTAAACACATTGGGCCTAATTCTATATCATGGAAAACAAAGAACATACTACTCCTCTTTTCCAACAACCACCCTTTAAAGATTTATTATGTTTTCATTTAAACAACAACAAGAGCCTCTCCTGTTATTACCTCAATTTTCCTGTGCCCTTTTAGGCTAATAGTTCTAGATCTTTCAGCCACTATGCATGTAATAGGATGTGAAGACTATTAATCCTGGTTGCCTTCCTCTAGACATGATCCAGTTAAAGATCTTCTTAATAAGCACTGCTTAGAACAAAACATTTGTGTCCTGCAAAGCAGAGCACAGTGGCACTGTCACCTTCCTTAAGGGAGATAGCACATTTTTATGAACATCTTCCAAATTATTAAAAGTATTTTGTTAGCTGTGGTTCAAAATTGGTGCATATTGAGCCTAAAGTCACCTAAAACTCATGCTGGGTTTCTCATATGAGTTGGTACCTTTGCTATTCTATATTTTTTATAATCAATAATTTTAATCTAGGGGCTGGGGCTCAATGGTAGAGCACTTGCCTAGCATGTGTGACGCACTGGGTTCGATTCTCAGCACCACATACAAATAAATAAAGTCTATCAACAACTGAAAAATATTAATTTTTTTAAAAAAATAATTTTTTAAAAAATAATAATTTTAAAAAATAATAATTTTAATCTAAATTAAGGGATTTTTTTTTCCTCAGTATAAATTTTACTTGGTTGATTTCAGCTCACTGGTCAGCAGTCCTGTGAAATCTGTGGGGTCAGCACCCTGACACTCCTTTAATAACAACAAATCATAAAAATAAGATATTTTTTGACTCATTCTGGTTCCAATGCAACTTAGTAGCAGAGCTAAAATGAGAAAACATAACTCCCATTTTCTCAACCAGAGCTCTCCATCAGGTATCATGGATAATGATGATGATGTTAATGATGACAATCATCTTCAAAACAAGTAACACTTGCTGGAAGCTCACCAAATGCCAGATACTATTCTAAGAATTTCACATATATTAATGCTCACAACTCTATAAAGGATAGTACTGTTAGGATCCTCATTTTACAAATGGGGCAAACTTAGGCAGTGAGAAGGTAAGCAACTTGTACAAGATCACATAGTGGAAATGGAATTCAAATTCAGATGGAGGGTTTGGTGCAATTATCCACTTACTCTCTAGGACTGAGGGAGCTACCCAGAAATGATCCAGAAAGATCCCAAAAGACCTGTCTTGCCAGTCTTGAGCCACTGCCTCCCACAGTTTTAGTCATACAACTCTATTAGTTGGATTAACTTTCAGTTACCAAATCATGGAGCCCACAATGTGACACTTACCTCCATTGCTCCTCAGGGGAGAGGTCTGACATATCGACCTGTAGAAAGACATCACCAGAAAAACCCATTATTGTCTTAGTACTATCCCTGCCTAATATAAGGTGCTCATGCACTCATCAATTCCTTCAAGATACTAAGGAAAATTTCATGCCTCACATTCTATATTAAGCTTTTCCCCAAACTATTTCACACTGATTTCTCCCTTTTCTAACTGTAGTTTGGCTTATATCCTTGACTGAATGTATGATGCATGCATACATATTCTGTACTATGCAATGAGGGCAGAAGACTGAAAGAGTCCGAAAGAGTCCTAACTACCAAACACTCAAGCCTAATGAGGAAGACATATATAAACAGAAAATTTCTTTATTATATTATAAAGACTAGCTATAGAAGAATGAAGAAGTGGCTTTTAACTGAATCTAGGGCATTATAGATTAGGGAAGGCTTCTTAGAAGACATGTGAAATATCTAGATATAGAAATGAGAGAAATATATTGCATCCAAAGAAATAACATAGACATTAAAGAATAAAATTGTATAGTACACTAACAATTGAGTATGACTAGGGAAAAAAATGCAAGTCAGAATTAGTGAGAGATGAAGCTACATAAAATATTCTGTCATATAATGCCATATTGCTGGGAGCCATTAGCCAAGTAAGTAGGTATGACAATTTCCTTGCCAGCGTACCCCATGTTGCAGTGACATTGAACGTACGTGACCTTGCTCAAGGACCAAGGCAGATTAGGGTGTTCCCGGTTTTAAGATAATCGTGTTTAGGGCGTTCCCAGTTTAGGTTCCAGGTTTAAGGTTTAAGATTATTCCTGCTGGGAATAGGGCGTATCCTGCTGCCTGAGTTCCCCTTGAGTTCTCACGGGATTCAGACAATATATTTTGGAGATAGAAGCCCAGTGGAGGTGGATTTGGGCAGAGAACGTGGATTTGGGAAGAGAACGTGGATTTCCCCAGAACGTGATTGTAGACGGCTGGTGTGAGTTCGGGAATAAAGAGAACCTCACCCCCCCACTGGTGCATAGACCTATCCACAAGTATGGCTGTATGCTGGACCGGTAGTCAGTGACGGGTATGATTCAATTGCAGTGGTATCAACCTAAGACAGGAGGCTGACGCCTAAAGGTCAGTTTTTCCCATGACGGGTAAGAACCATATGTTGAACTGGACAACCTACCAGGCACGGTCCTTAAGCCACATTGCTTGTTGTTTAATTAATCAGAAGGGGGGAGATGCTTGGAGCCATTAGCCAAGTAAGTAGGTATGACAATTTCCTTGCCAGCGTACCCCATGTTGCAGTGACATTGAATGTACGTGACCTTGCTCAAGGACCAAGGCAGATTAGGGTGTTCCCGGTTTTAAGATAATCGTGTTTAGGGCGTTCCCAGTTTAGGTTCCAGGTTTAAGGTTTAAGATTATTCCTGCTGGGAATAGGGCGTATCCTGCTGCCTGAGTTCCCCTTGAGTTCTCACGGGATTCAGACAATATATTTTGGAGATAGAAGCCCAGTGGAGGTGGATTTGGGCAGAGAACGTGGATTTGGGAAGAGAACGTGGATTTCCCCAGAACGTGATTGTAGACGGCTGGTGTGAGTTCGGGAATAAAGAGTTGCTGTTTGAATCTACAAGCTGTGTGGTGGCTCGTGATTGTGTGCCCAGCCAGACTGTGGCACCATATGGTTCTAAATGGCACCATGGTTGCAGGCAGAACATTAGACCATGGTAAAATGAGCTCTAGTCTCTGCCCTACTATTAACTAGTGGTATGGTTAAGCTCCAAGGTCAGGTTCTCTCTGGGGTCTTCTCTTTTGAAAGCAAGTTTTCTCAAACTTGTCACTACTGATATTTCAGAGTGGTTAACTCTTTATTGGGGGAGAGGTTCTATACATTGCCAGTACCATCACCCCAGGTGCAATAAGTAGAACAGTCTATAGACATTATTAAATGTTCCCTAGGGGACAAAAATCACCCCCATCAAAAATCATGGCACTAACTGGGTGCAGTGGTGTATACCTGTAATCCTAGCAGTTTGGGAGGATAAGGCAGGAGGATCATGAGTTCAAAGCCAGCCTCAGCAACTCAGCGAGGCACAAAGCAAATTAGTGAAACCCTGTCTCATATATATAAAATAAAAATGGCTGGGGATGTGGCTCCATGGTTAAGTGCCCTTGGATTCAATCTCCAGTACCTCCCCCCAACCACCACCACCACAAAAAAAAAAAACAAAAAAAAAAAAAACATGGCACTAGTTTTGAGTTCAGGGCTCAAGTCTTCTACTTGTAGTTATACAAAAGCAAGTTCAAAGCCAGTCTCAGCAATTTAGTAAAGCCCTGAGCAATCCATCGTGACCCCTGTCTCCCTTCTTTAAATAAATTATAAATAAAGCCTGGGGATGTAGCTTAGTGGTTAAGCACCCAAGTTCAATCCCCAATACCAAAGAAAGCAAAATATTTGAGATAAAACAGAACTCCATTCTACTATCAACTCAAGTCAACACATGTTTACCAGCCATCCTTTAAGTCTGTGTACTGGGAATGCCCATCACTATTTAAGGAATGCTTTCTGGCTTCTTCATGTCCCAGCTAAGGAAAAAAATAAATAAATAATCCCAAGGTTTTGCTGAACCAATGTGGGTAATAAAGTCAACCACCCTCCTTTCTTTTTCTACTTCACAAATTGCCTCACAGAATTTACTTGGTACCTTAAGTCAGGCCTTCATCTAAAAAGACAGAGGTCAAATACTATGAAAGGGGACAAATGGATACAAAATATGGAAAAGCTCTGCTGGGAGGTACCTGCAGACAATGAAAAATCAAACTTTGAAAAAAAAAATCAATGCACAAGTTTCATCTACTTATGAGACTCATATACTGTCTCTGGGCCTTTGTATACTTCTCCTTCTGCTTGGAATGCCTTTCTGCTACATTTTTTCCTATTCAAATCCAAGTTATCCTTTGAGAACCTAGCTTGGATTTCACCTTTCCTAGAAAAGTTTCGATTCAGTGAATTCAGTCCTCTGCTTTTTTCTATCAGTGAATTTTCTCTTTTTTACTCAAAACGTAGCTCATGAACTCAGATCATCTGAGTGCACAATCTCAGGCACCACTCTAAACTTACTAAATCAGAAGCTACCTTTTAATAAAATCTCCAGATGATTATTATGCACATTAGATTATTATGCACACTGTTCTCTAACACACATTCATATCCTTATATTATCTTAGATATGCTTTCTAAATGACCTAACTGCCGCTTAAGTCTAGGACCAACCTGGGTCAAGCAAGAAATCTAGGGCTCATAATTTAAGAAAGCTTCCACTCCAGTTACTATCACTACACTTTATGACCTTAAGTGACTGCTTCAAGTTTGTACCCAGCACCTTGATTGCCTCATCCTGGCCCTGGCCCTGTTTATGTCTAACTTGTACCCAGCATATAAATGCAGAAGCTGCCTCAAAGCCAAGACATACTTTACACCATGTCTGTGTCTACCAAGGAGAACAGCACATAGCTAAGCATATATTAAGCATTCAACGAATACTTGGTAGAACTGAACGAAATTCTTTATGATAAAGTATGCAAGTATGCTAATAAATCAATATACCACCTGGAGATGTTTTAAATTGGTGAGTAAACAAACACTTAAAAAATAAATTAGCTGGGCAAGGTGGCACACACCTGTAATCCCAGTGACTCAGGAGGCTGAGGCAAGAAGATCACAATTTCAAGGCCAGACTTAGCAATTTAGCAAGACCCTGTCTCAAAATAAAAAATAAATAAGGGTGGCTGAGGAATAGCTAAGTGGTAAGGCCCTTCCCTACCGTGCACAAGGCCCTGGGTTCAACCCCCAAAAGAGCAAACAAATAAGTGGGGCTGGTGATGTAGCTCAGTAGTACATTATCTTGGATTCAATTACCAATATGAGGGTGGAAGGTAGTAACTAATAATCATCTGAGAAAGGAGTATTCATCCAACACTAGAGCAGTCAGAAAAATGATGTTAAAAACTATGTGACAAAACAAGCACATGTTCAAATTCTCAAGACATGTCCATTGAAGGCAAAACTATAAGATCCAGAAAACTGGGCCAGGCATGGAGGTACCTCTCTGTCAAAGAGTAGACTTAGCAAGTTACTGTCTATGCCTCAGTTTTTCCACCTGGAAAACAAAATAGGACTTCTGACTTCATCAGAAGGATGTGAGGAAAATACATTCAAGGTGATCAAGTGATTTCCCTGCCTTTCCTCTTAGGACAGTGTGCATTTTTTTACAAATTACTAGAAGAGGCAGGGAACTGAATGTTGGTAAAGCACAGAATAGTAATACTTGGGACTCGAGGATCATTAGCACTTCGTGAAGTAGTATAAAAGTTAAGAGTAATATATGATCTGGCTTTAATTTTACCTCCAGAACAAAAAGGTTTTAAATTACACCCAAACCAGTCTTCTGACTCAAGTGGAAAAACAAGGAAAGCAGTTAACTATAGCTATAATTAACCTGTACCATCTGGAAAGACATCTTTATTTTCTCTCTCATTAAGGAGTTTATTCATTTGTGGCTAAGCACTAAACTCAGTCTGAAGGCACCTTGTCTAGAACTCAGTAGCTAATTGGGTAGGTTCTCAGGTCAAGAGTACTGATTGATGGGTCCATAATCAACACTATGACCTATACATAGAATGTTTTATTGCTAGTCAATCACTTCTCTCCTAGGATTTCACTTCTAGCCCCTAGTCATATCAATCTACATAAGCCTAGATTTGAAAGAAGTTAAACCAAAAATGCCAGGCAGAGGGCAAGAGAAAATTTTGCAAAGATAAAAAAGGGTCAGAAGTTGGCAGCTATATCTTCTAAGGTGCAAATGATTAGTGACTCACCACTGTACCCCACAATTTTAGTCTTCCTGTCCTCTACAAAAATAGTCTGTGATCTCTGCATCTTTACATAGGCTGGTTACTTTGTTCATTAAGCCCTTTTCTGCCCTCCTGCAAAACTTTGATCTATTCCTCCTGGCTTCTGGAAGGTTCT